CAAGCATAGTTGTACTGAAGGGGGGGAGGAAGATTAACATAAAGACAGTAGCATAAAACAGATTGAAAAAACGGCCCCAGTTCTTCATCCTTTCCTGTATCTAGTCTTGCAGTGTGATTTTTCAAGAGCTATCTTCAAGAAGAATCTTTCTCCACCCCAGAAGGTATTGGTCACAGAATCTGCAGCCAGTGAGCATGCATGAGCCAGTTTTGAACCTGAAGCTGTTTGTCTTCATTTTCTCAGAACCCTGTTTCCTCTGCCAGGAGAACAAGCCAAGCAGGTGGAGGGTAAGACACCACTTGGAAGTAACCCAGCTGTTTCAGATAAGACCATGCTAGATCGTCTTACAGGCAGGCCCCCAACACATGTGAGAATGGGCAAACAGACAGCACACTGCCTGCCCGACTACAGCTCCTAGCAATGCAGGTGTGAGCCCGGCCGGGACAGCACACCCTCCCAGCTGACTCCCGGACTTCAGAGCAATAATTGAGGGCTGTTGTTTTATGCTGCTGTGTTTCAGAGTTGTGTGTTACACAGCAGTAGGTAACATACATCCCTACGGCACTCTAACAAATCTTCCCTTGTTGCATTAGCTTAGACACAGAACCAGGAAAACTCACTGCAAATTAGAAATTAAACATAATCCCCTAATATAGAAAATGAACTATTTGTTAGCTTTTCTTCTGTGACATACGCAGGCATTACCAAGGTTCCCAATTAATCATATGGCCTAATTGCACCAAACTGATAGGCTTCTTTCTGGAGCACTGTAGTGCCTACTCTTCCTTTCCCCATTTTCCTTTCAGCTCATTCTCTCTCTTTGGTGCTGCTAATGCCTCGGGGCTCTGCGGCATTTACCTCAAGATTCTTAAGCCATGTTGCTCAAAATTCAGTTTATTACCTTTCCCAGAGGGATGTCAGTTGAAAAGAAGGTAAGCTAAATACTTGTAGTTTATTCCCAGCATCTAACACAGTTCTTGGCACATAGTACACAAACAAAAATATTCAAGGAAGTAATGGATCCCTCCTTATTCCTCATCTCAAACTGCTCTCTGCTTTCACAGCTTCTTCTAGTCTCTATGCTCCTTCTTATTCATACACATTATTCCCTTTTATTTTACATGCACTCCGAGTTTTCCTACAGCCCCATGATAATACCCTTTTGATGGCATATGAACAAGCACCTTGTTATTTTCCACTACAGAGGTTAAAATTCTGGCTCTGCCACTATGTGACACTGGGGAAATGGCTGAAATTTTCTGTGCCCCAGTTTTCTTATTACAAAATGGTGGTAACAATATATACCTCAAATAAGATGAAATTAAATGATACATATCAAATGCTTAGGAAGAACTCTTGGCACAGGGTAAGTACTCAAGAGATGCTAGCCCGATTTGTTTTGTTTGTTTTACCTTGTCCATCTTCATCCAAAGGTGATCCCAACTATTTGCTTTTACCTGTTTTGTGTCCAGACTGCAGGGCACTAATGGTCCACGTATCTACTGATACATGCTTTATATTGTGATATCATTGTTTTTTGAGCTCTGTGTACCTACCAACACCAAGTTTGCTTCAAATATTTTTTGTTCTCCTTGGAGATTCCAAAGCGAACTCTGTCCCTTTTATATTCAGCAGATGAATCTCATATACCAAACACCTGAATGTGCCATTCTCTCAGCCCAGAAGCCCCTAGGCATTATTTCCCTTGATCTCACTTCTAAATTTCTACCTTCACCCATCTTTATTTATCTGACAGAAAAAACCCATCCCTCTCATACTAACCCTGCCAGTTTATATTCCAAACCCCATCTATTTCTTCTTCCTCCTCCAGGATGTTAATCCATCCCTTCCTTTCTCAATTTCTCCTTCTCTACTGACTCCTGCACTGAGCCTATGAATCTTTCTGGCCTCTCTGTCAGAAAAAATAAATTCACTTGGTCTGCCACAAGGTTACTGTTTTACCCTCTTTGCAGCCACACAATTCCAGGAAAAAAAAGTGATTTAAATGTAATGCCTCTACATTCTCCTCTTCTGCTTAGTGCATATATTAGCAGGCCCCCAAACCCTTTTATATCATAAATGAAATGATTTTATTATTTTCTGTCCATGTGATTTTTACAGGTACCAGGCAAACAGGACCATGACCTCTTCAAAACTGAAGAACCACTATTTAGTAAATCCTATGACTAGATACTGTACTAAGCACTTTACATATGCTAAGTCATTGAACATTCATAGCAATCCTGTGAGATAAAGTATTTTCATTTTGCACATAAGGATGCAGAGACTTAATTTATCATTTATGCATTTATGATCTCATTTATGAGTTATTAACTAAGTCTCAGTAGACCGCGGCAAGCTAATGCCCACCCTTGTGCTTATCAGCTCCAGTGATTGCTCTTTGACTCATGGTCTATCATACTACCAGCTCCGCTCTGCTAAAGGTCATCAGCTGGGTCCTCCCTGTTCATATGCCATTAGGTTTTCTATGGGATTTGGTCCTGCTTATCTCTTACGCAGTATATCTTTCTTTCCATTAGATATGGACATCTCAGCCTCATCAATTCCATTTAATTTTCACTTCTAGGTTCTTAGCACACCCCTCCCTCCCTCCCTTGCAGCATATGTAAACATACTCTTATTTCTCCCATATTAAGAAAAATGCACTCCTTCAATTCTGCCTCCCCTGTAAAACCACTACCCTAGTTTGCTTTTTCAGTCGCATTGAAAGGGAAATCCACACATGCCGATCCCACTTTCAGATCCCTCATTCACTCTCCAATTCCCTGAAATCTCAGTTCTACAATAAACTTCATTGAAAGAGCTCTTTCCAAGACCAACAATAATCTCTAATTACAGATTCAGTAAAACCTGTTCACAGTTCTTATTTGACTTTTCTGAATGTTTCTTTGGCACTTCAAAATCAAAAGGCTTAAAAAATGAACTTATTGTCTCTACCTGCCACCCAGCTTGCTTCTCCTCCAGGTCCTCTCACAGTTAACTAAATTTGTCATCCACTTAGTAAGCTCTGAACTTTCTGAATTCTCATCCCCATCTTTTTTACCCATCCAGTCATTTCACCCAACTCATCAATTCCACCTTGACAAACCCTTCATTAGTGGTTAACCTGGGTGCACATTAGAATTACCTGAGGAGCTTTTAAAAAATACTCATGCTCAGACTCTAATCCTAGACCAGTTAAGAGAATATCAGAGAGTAGGGTCAGACATGGCTAATTTTTAGGACCCTCAAGTAATTGCAGCCTGTATTGCACCATTCACATTCTTCTCAGTGTAATAGTCCATGCTCTGGCCCTTATTAGCTTTCTTCTGGGTTATTTTAGTTCCTTCTCATTTCTCTTCAAGCTCCCAATTTCTCATACAATTTTTAATCACATTTTTTGCCAACATCTATAAAACACAACTTGGTACATGCACCATCCTGCTCACATAAGTTCTAGAATAAGGTTCAATCACTTTATATAACAAATAGGACCTTTCAGAAAAATGTTTAAGATATAGTGCATACCATTTAGTAACTTGCAATACAATGAATACAGATATGAAAAAAATAAATATGAAACACTTTTATAAGTATGTGTACCCACTTTCCAGTGGTTAGCATAATGCCATGAACCTTTATCGCATTGAAATATCTATTGAACTGATTTTAAAGGCAATACTTAAGATAACCCCAAAATTCAATCTAGCCAAATATACGTGTACCTAGCTGGTATTAAATAACTGTCAGTTAAATGCTGTATAATTGTAACGTCTGTATTGCACTTCACGGTATCACACGGTGCCAGTTAAAGCAATGAAGAAATCTGCTACCTCTACCCTTCTGCAAAGTATTCTATATACAGAACAAAGGGAAACAAAGAAAGAAAAGAAGACAACCCCTTACCTTGATAAAAATAGAAATGTTCTACCGTGAGTTCTCTAAGTGGATAAAGATGCCCAGCATCTGTTTCCCCTGATTTTTCTGTGTCTCTAAGCAGATTGTCCGCCATCATTCTAATTCCTAAGTGAGTCAAGTGAGAAAGGCCAGGTGATGAAAAATACTATTTGATATCTTTGCATAAGTTGATCCTTCAGATGGATGTATCATCTGCGAATTAGAAAATGACAAAACTTTAAAAAGATCGTCTGTTTAATCACTGTGCTGTATTGTGTGTTATCAAAAGTCACAACCCAGCTGCACAGCACTGAATAGTAGCACAGAGCTTGCCAAGGGCGATAAAGAACAGGACCAAACTCCCTTTTTATTTCAACCATAGGCGCAGACTCTCCAATCAATTCCTACCCATTAAAAATAATACCAAATTTGAAATCACATGGGGTACTGTTTGGTGTTAAAACTAGAAGTTGTTAGGGTAACAAGAGAGTATATAAAACAGTAAAGTGTAAAATAAAGCTATGGGATGTTATTCCAAAAACAGAGAACTTTAAAAAAGATATCACAAACCAGTCACTTACTGACTCATATTCTCACTCATATTCTCATTCTCTGCATTATAATATACTACGGTGGATGTTAACAACTTAATTAAAAAGGACAAGATCTCACACACACATGCACACGCACACACACAGTGAATGGGAAACTGGTCAAATCTGAATAAGATCTGTATTTGAGTTAATAATATTCTGACTTAGATTCTGGGTTTTGTAAGACATTCTCACTGGAGACAGTGGGAACAGGATGCACAGAAGTTGTCTGTAGTATTTTCATAACTTCTTATGAAGCTAATACTACTTCAAGATAAAAATTTTAAAAAGTGTTAAAGGCTAAGTCATAACTATATTTGATATTTTAATATTTCCCTGTAATGAATTTCAAAGAATACACAATGGCTATCTTTAATGATTTTCAATAAAATGAATTTCACATATCACTAGCAAAATGATGCCAGTTGTGCTCATAGTCAAGATGTGGCAAGCAATATGAGCATAAATATACCTATTTCAATTGTTTCCTAGCAAAGAAGCAAATCAAATATCAGAACCTTGTGTAAATGGCAAGATTTACCATAGATTTTATTGAAAGGAGATTGAAGAATTTATGTCAGCTTCCCTTGAATTCAGGTCTTCCTGGATAGTCACTGAAGTGCTTCTTTTAAAATAAAACAGTAGAAAACAGATTCTCCAAATGTAACTCATGAGAGTCCATTTTATATCCCAATTTTATTCACCTTTTCTGAATAGTCACAACATTAATCTACTGGGGATCATCTAGTTAGTATATTTGAAATTCCATTTATTTTTTTCTATTGATATGCATGTATTACACTTGTATATAATACAGAATTTCCAGTGTTGTTTTAAAGGACATCATATTTTTTTAAAAAAAGAGAAACATGAGCTATAATTTCAAACAAACCCAGGACAAATTCATAATTTTCAAAATAATACAGTTTTCTACTTTGTTCCAAAGAAATTAATAATATTATAATATTGATGCAGAAACTCCAGAACAGCATCATTCCTTTCTTCATGAGTTTATACAGTCCTGAACCATTGCAAATCCATTGGAGCCATCTAGTTGGTTTTGTGTGTAATTGAAGTGAAGAGAGGAAATCATTTCATTTCATTCCATGGACTTGTGGGGCAGTATACTTCAGTTCAATATCAAAAGTATACCTTAAAAATTAAATTTTAATAAATTTTACACTTTCAGTTCTGCCCAGAAAGTATTCTGGGCAAAGTATTGATCTTTGAAAGTTGTTACTGTCAGACAGAAGCTCTCCAGGATATGTCAGCTCCCATCATGGAAACCAACATACAATGAATTGGCCACATCACTTTAAAAAATAGGAAAGATGTCTGCACCTTCCCTAACATAATGGAACTTATAATAGGACAATTTCTGAAGTATCTTCCTATTCGTCTGAGATGAATAAAATACAGACTTCTCTCCCTTTACATTATTTCAAACTATATGCTTGCATGGTATTATTACAGAATGGCTAAGCAATTCATTCTCTCCCTTCACATCACAAATGAAAGAAATATAGTGTAAAGTTATACATTCTGCAACAACTTAGGAAAAAGGAGTACATACATGTTTAAGGCCTTTAAATATTTATGACTTTCATGTAGAACTGAAAACCACAAATGTAAAATGACTACAAAAATATTGACAGAAACTGACCTAAGAAGTTGTTTGGAACAACTATAAGCAAATATTTATAAATTTAAGACCACAGAAAATGAACAATTAATCCTATCAATAGAGTGACCAAATATATAAGCATTCAAACAGTCATTGGAATCAAGCAAGAGACAGTCTTTTAAAATGAAATAGAAAGGACAGTTTAAAAAAAATACTAGAAGAAATCTAAGTGAATAACTTTCAAGCTAAGGAATCAGAAACCCACATGCATCCCTGGCAATCTTGTGAAATCAAAGGCTACTTAAAATACTTGGCTATTCACTGCTGATTTCTTTGAAGGGAAAAAGTAAAGAAAAACTAAAGAAAAAGCCTACTTAAAAAAAAACTGAAAGGGAGTGTGCTCTAGAAGTACAAAATAGTATATAATGAAAATGGTAATTCAGTTCTAACTACTACCTATTAACTGACAGAGAGCTGCAGTAGTGTGTTAGCCTTGGGGAAAGATGTCAGCTTGTGTATGCATTCTTATATGATTGATGTAGTCAGATAACTATTACTTGCCAACAGTAATTCTTATCAATGGATATATATATTTCCATTCCTTTACCAAAAGCAACTTTCAGATGTTAAAACATGTAGGCTTTCAGAGATCCAAGATTAGGATACAAATAACATTGTCCCCATCTACACCATGCCAGAGGAGAAGTTTGCAAAGGAAATACCACTAAACTGTGTGCAGTCCCACTAGCCAAGAACACAGAACCAGACCCAGGAGCACGTCCATGACAGAAGGCCAGTACACTCAGGAGACTTCCAGAAACAAGGAAAACAGTCACATTTGGAGCCAAGAGCCCAAAAGGTGAGTCTCTGACATCACCCCAAAACAACAGCTCTTCAGACAGCAACTTCATATTCTTTCAGCAAGTACAATTTTACAAGTTGAACACAGTTCAAATCTGATGAACCCTTCATGACATAAAAGCTCATGTCTGACTTTTTAAAAGTCTTGATTTCAAGAAGAGGCTGATGATGGGCCATGAAATCCCTTGGAAATAACTGACTCTGGACTGCCTCTTCTGACCAGTATAAAAATCTTCCTTTAAGATCACCTCAGGGGTTAAGTTTCTGTGCATATGTTCCATGTAATTGGCCTTGAGAATCACTTGATTTATCCTGGGTTAATGGGTTACCTACAAAGGAAGGAGAAAATAGGATCATTTTATAACATAGCTATAATCTTAAAACCCCCAGAACAATTTAGTATTAGAAATTAATAAGTAGTGCAAAATGCTGGTATTTGCTATATCAAATAAATTGTTGAATTTTAAAGGACTACCATATTCGGGTATTTCCAGCCTATGAAAATACACCTTTTTTTCCTCTTTATCATTTCATGATATTGTTAGAGCCAACTGTACAATTATCCACATGGCACCAACTGTGACTGGGAAGATCTTAAATGGTTGATGCTACCCCCTCTAAGACCCAGAGAATGATGCAGAATCCCTGTTCTCTGCACAGGCTTGTAGGACATAATCCAGAGATCACAATCATATTATATGCCAGGACTCAGTGAAGAAAGACCTTTGTTCACAGACCATATCTTCAAGAAAGCCCTTAGAAATTGGCTCCATAAAAATCTGTTCTTCAAAGAGTTTAAAATTTGAGTGCTTATTTGACTCAATTATATTGCAGAAAAAATATCCATAAGGACAAAAAATATCTGGGGAAAAAAACAACATAGGATAGTGCAATGTTTTACCAAGCTTTACAGGTGCCCCAAAATTCTCATAAAATTGATTAGCATGGAATCATTAATGCTATTATAAATATTATTGAAGCAGATTTACACTGGCTTTTCACACCTACTCAAGTCAAAAGATTTGTATGTGTCCAGGAAAAAATAATGTACAGAGAGCTAGAATACCTGATACCTATGTACATATTCAAACACATGTGGATGATAGATACAAAAATAGATGTCTGCTGCCAATGAATTTCTAGTGACACTAGCATCGCAACACCCAGTCACATCATAGTTCTTCTCTAGTATTGGTTGTAATAACAAAGAGTGAATCTCTAAAAACTTGTGGATACTTGGTTTTCTTCCTTTAGATGGTATAAGTTGTCCTTTCATAAAACATTTACAGAAAGACTATTTTTCTTTTGTTGTTTTTTGATCAATTCTGACAAAGGGAACACAATAATAAAGCTAGCTGGAGTCTTTTCTTCAGCATGGCGAGTCTCAAATTTTACTACAAAAGGACGATGTAATATTCAAAAGTGCATTTGCTGGGTGGGGCAGCCATCATACTGAGGATGGACGGGTGCAGACACATGAAGGGCCTGCTGAGAGCTCTGGAGATTCCAAGCCCTGGAGATAGCTTAGCACAGCGATGTCATTGTCGATTTGTCTGCAGTTCAGTGGTCATTTTACAAGTTCTGTGCATGGCTTCCAGGGTGTCAGTGTAGGAATGTAAGTATTTCTATGGAAATGATGTCACACGTTACTAATGGAGGTAGTTGTGAACAAATACAGAAGCTTTATGGTAAACATTCTCAATAAACATTGATTTTATACAATCTTTGATTTCTGTTGGCTGAGAAAGATTCACCTGCCTTTTCTGAAAATACCCTTTAGTAGCAAAAATTATGAAGCATAATAAGGGACCATACTTCCAAAACTAGTGGTTGAAATGACAGGAAAGGAAAGGAAATGAGACAGAGATTGCGAGAGAACAAAAGGTTCAGCCTCAGGGATTCGGCATAGGCAACTAGTGGGAAATGGTGCCACCCTCCATGAAAGTGAGTGGCATGTCCTCTTGAACCATTTCAAGCCCAGGTTCTAAAAAATCAATTGGCAGGTATGGTAGATGCATTCTTCTATCTTCCTCACAAGCTGAATAATTCATCTTGATGGTTTATTTGAAGCCGGAGATTGATTCTTTCACCTATTTATATATTAAAGGTTTATTTCATGTAACTTTTAAAATAGACATGTATATTTATAGTACAATACCAAAAGTTTATCCAGAATGAATTATTTCTCCACCTAGGTAGAGACACCATGTTAAATATACATGTAAACACATATAAATATAATTATACACCCCATACCCTCAGGAATATCATGCATATGCATTTTTATTATGCTATGTTTCTAACAGTTAAAATAATTGCCAGAAAATCAAAATTCCAACATAACTAAAAGAAGTAATTGCCTAAGTGGACTGAAACATCATTAAAACACCCTTATCTCACAGTCCACTTTTACACACTATTTCTAGTTCATTAATCCTAAAAATATCCTACATCTTTTATGAGATGAAGAGTAGGGTGTAAATTATTTATAAATATCAGATGAAAGTAGACTTGTTTTAGATTTTACTTTTGTAAATTATTTGATTTTAATCAGAAGTCCATTGTGGTTCAGCACCTAGAATTCTCAATTAGGTCAGTGTGGCCATAATACTAATCACACTGGATGTTTCATGCAACCTCTGGGACCCTCAGTCTTCCCATATGCAAAATGGGGGATAATCCTGTTAATAGGATTGCTGTGAGGATCAAATATAATATTTATGAAAACACCTAGATTTGACAATTCCAAAGTACTGTAGAAATAAAAGTTTTAGAGTTGGGTTTTCTTTTTTAATGCATAATTCCTTAACAAGAGAACCACTAAGACTAGATAGAATAAGAGGACCACACTAACACACCTTGAGCCATTAGAGGACAACACTTGAGGAATTCAAACAGACACTCATTCTTAAATGGCCCTTTTCAATGTAGCTTAGATATGACTACGTATGAACATGTGTCAGCACTCTCCCTGACAACCTCTGATTTGTACCACATGAAATGGCAAAATATTTTAAAATATAGAGAAGATGATTCTAAATATAGGTACATTATCATCAATTTTAGATTATTTCATTTTATTTATTTTTACAATTCAAGTAGTTTATATACTATACAATATTAGATTGGTTTGATTAACAACTTAGTGATTCATCAAGTATGTACATTATTAAATGCTCACCATGATTAAGTATAGTTACCTGTCACCAAAGATTTTACAATATTATGAGCTGTATTCCCTATGCTGTACTTCCATCCCTGTGACTAAATTATTTTATGAAGTTTGAACCTCTTTATCCCCTTCACCTATTTCACCTGTTTCCCCACACTCAACAGTAACCAACCATCTCTGTTAATGAGTCTATGTCTGTTTTGTTTTTTCATTTGTTTTTCAGATTCCACATGTATGTGAAGCCATACAGTATTTCTCCCTCTCTGACTTATTTCACTCAGCATAATACCCTCTAGGTCTATCCATGTTGCAAATGGCAAGGTCTCTTTTTATGGCTGAATAATATCCCATTGTATATATGCACCACATCTTTATTCATTTATCTGTGGATGGACCCGAATTGCTTCTCAGCTATTGTAACAAAGTTATAATAAACATAGGGTGCATATATGTTTTAGAATTAATGATTTCATTTTCTTTGGGTAGATTACCAAAAGATCATATGGTATTTCTATTGTTTGTTTTTTGAGAAAATTCCATACTGTTTTCCATAGTGGCTGCACCAATTTGCAATCCCACCAACAGTGCATGAGGATTCCCATTTCTCCACATTCTTACCAACACTTCTTACTTTTCTTTTTGATAACAGCCATTCTTACTGATGTGATGTAATAGCTCATTGTGGATTTGATTTTCATTTCCCTGATGGTGAGTGATAATGAACATCTTTTCATGCATCTGTTGGCCATCTGAATGTCTTCTTAAGAAAAATGCTTCTTCAGGTCCTGTGCCCACTTTTTCCTCATTATTTGGGCAGGTTTTTTTTGGTGCTGTATGAGTTTTTTTTATATATTTTGGATATTAGCCCCTTATCAGATATGTCATTTGCAAATACATCCTTCTGTAGATTGCCTTTTCATTTCATTGATGGTTTCCTTAACTGTGAAGAAGCTTTTTAGTTTGATGTAGTCCCACTTAATTCCCTTGCTGGGGATATAGATCTACAAAAAAATTTCTAATGCTGATATTCAAGAGTTTACTGCCTGTTTTCTTCTAAGAATTTTATGGTTTTAGGTATTACATTATGGTCTTTAATCTGTTTTATTTTTGTGTATACTGTAAGACAGTTCATTTTTTGCATGTAGCTGTCTAGTTTTCCCAACACTGTTTATGGTAGAGACTGTCTTTTCCCCATTGTATATTCTTTGTTATAGATAATTGACCACATAGGTGGTTTATTTCTGAGTTCTCTATTCTGTTCTGTTGGTCTGTGTATCTGTTCTTGTGCCAGTATTATACTATTTTGCTTATTATAGCTTTGTAGTAGTTTTAAATCAGGAAGTGTCATAAATCCAACTTTGTTTTTCTTTCTCAAGATTGTTTGGACTATTTGAGGTCTTCTGTGGTTCCATACATATTTTAGGGTTACTCAGTGAAAAATGCCATTGATATTTTGGTACAGATTGCATAGAATCTGTACATTTCTTTGGGAAGTATAGCCATTTTAACAATAGTCTTCATATCTATGAGCATGGAATAGTTTTCCATTTATTTATGTCATGTTCAATTACTTTTATTGTTTTATAGTTTTCAGAGTACAGGTTTTTTACATCCTTGGTTAAATTTATTCCTAGGTAATCTTTCTGATGCAATTGTAAATGGGATTGATTTCTTAATTTCTCTTTCTACTATTTAATTATTTGCATATAGAAATGCAACAGAGTTCTGCACATTGATTTTGTAACCTGTGACTTTGATGAATTCATTTATTAATTCAAATAGTTACTGCTGGACTCTTTAGAGTTCTCTATAGTATCATGTTGTCTGCAAATAGTGTCAATTTTATTCTTCTTTACCAATTTAGATGCCTTTTATTTCTGCTTTTTGTCTGATTGCTATGGCATGCACTTCTAGGACTATACTGAACAAAAGTGGTGAGAGTGGGCATCCTTGTCTTGCTCTGATCATATGAAACATATAGGAAAAGCATCATTGAGTATGGTGTTAGCTGTGGGGTTGTCATATATGTCCTTTTTAATGTTGAGATATGTGCCCTCTATACTCACTTTGTTGAGAGTTTTTATCATGAATGGATGTTTAACTTTGTCAAATGCTTTTTCAGCATCTATTGAGATAATGATACTCTTTTTATCCTTC